ACCATAAAAATTGGCAAAATCTTTTCCATCTCAACTTTGCTGTCTTGTGAAACCGATGGTAAAAGCGTCTTGATAATTCACCTCGTCGAGGGTTGACGGCCTTGACTTTTGCTTGTCAGTTGAGCACACATACAACTCATCCTGCAACCATGAGCCTCAACTTTCCGACTTTCATGGCCCCAGTCTCACAGATTTGTGTGCCGCAGGCGTCAAGGAATGTCCTTTCTCAGAGTGTGTACTTTGCCAGCCCCGGGTTCGCTTTATCACACTTGCCCCTCTACTCCCTTGCCCTAGTAACCACAGTTAGAGACCAGTCAGTCCTCGTGGTCGGCGGCATTCTGGCAGTCGAGAGACCGGACTCGACTGCTGTGGCCTCCGAACAGGGTCTACACCAGCTCACCTCTCCCACGAACAACGCACAGACAAGACCTTCCTGAGGCAGTGATACGTCAAAATGGCGTGGAATTTTGCCGAACTCGTACCTCGGGGCATTTGGCGTGTGTGTATGTGTGTATGTATGTATATGTGTATACGTGTGTGTGTATGTTGACGCGCCAATCTAGTTGGTGAAGAGGATAGGCTCGAGTCTCGAGTCCTACAGTTGACGATGCGAAGAGAGTAGGTCTCAAAGGTGACGCATGTGGCCAACCAGCCCTAGAGACAGAATTTGTGGGAATCGGACTCACTTTGACGGCGTTGTTCGTCGTAATCCTTCCACTCGGCTTGTGTGGAGGGGATCGGCTCGTCGGAGCGCAGAGGAATGGTACCGTGCACCCAACAGTAGTCGGACAGGAAGGCCTGAAAGTTGTCGCCTGTCGGAGAGACTGGCACAAAACAGGAGATTGAGTTGAGCAGATATTGCTTGGCCGAGACCACGAGGCAGCAGAGCAGAAACAGAAGGACCGTGAAGATGTTGATGCGATCCGAGAAGTCTTCAATCGACACTCGATTGGTCGCCTGCAGTTTTTGGAACAGATCCAAGAAGTCCGAGCCCACCATTTTCTACACTCGACCTGTCGACTAGTCCGAGCTGGAGTAAAGGTACTTTTGTTCGTCAAGTTATACACCCTCTCACACGATTTGCATGACAACTCGGGCAAACTGAATCCGCACTCTGCAATCTAGATCCGCAGGACGGCTGTCACTGTTGCTCGGCTCGCTGCAACACGTTTCTTGTATCCTCGCCTCCTCCTTATGACTCTTTCTCTCTCCTGCTTGTTTACACACACACACACACATCAAGAGGCCCAGTATGCCGTCTCGAGGTGGACTTGCACTCCGGCTGTTTGCGTGATTGCCTTGTCAGATCACGAGATGCTCTAATCGGATCCACTATTCCACAATTCCATCATACAGATTTGTTTATTCATTCGTCCACTGTACTCGTT